TAATAATATTATTTTCTATTTTTATCTAATTAAAAATAGATTAATGATTTTAATTTATTTAATAAAAATATGAGATGATAATAATTTATATGTTATTTTTAGAATTTATTAATTTTAGTTTCTTTGTTATTTTTATAACCTCTTCAAAACTATATAAGAAGATTTCATTGTAAGAATTAAGCAGAGAAGAATGAAAGTTATTTTATCTTCTTCAAAGGTAAACTTTCTCTCAATTTTTTATTAACATCTGTTTGAGAGTTGTCGAGTTCTATCACTCTCATATGGATTAGATTGGTATCAGAGTATTTTAATCCTACCTGTATATGGTTAAGACTCAAAGTGGTTACAAGAAGATCAGAGAACTATTTTCTATTCTCAACGTTCACCGAAGACCTTCAAGAAGAACCATAAGTGTTGAGTCTATTATAATAGCACAAGATTTTATTGTAGTCAATTTAGTCAAACAAATCGCTAGTCTGTCTAAACATATGACAAAAGTTATGTCTTGGATGAAGGATCAATCACGTGATGATTCTGACAAAAACTCCACGGAAACAATTAAAAGTCTCGATTCGAGTTTAAGAAAAAAGGAAAAAAAATCAATATCCTCAAAAAGAGGAAGATGAGAGGCTGCCAAGCCCTTTTAAGGTAGAGGCAAAAATAAACATTTCATCATATGACGGTTCAGTTGATGCTGAAAAGTTAGATTCTTAGATCAATCAGCTGGAGACTTACTTTACCTTATATAGGTATAGTAGTGAAGACAAGGTCTCATTGGCAAGACTAAAACTGACAAGTTATGCTTTAGCATGGTGGAATTCATATATACAAACACATGAGGGTGAAGAAATTTCTTGTGATAATTTTTTGGATCTAATCAGAAATTTTTTTTTATCCAATAGGCTATTAAGAAGATCGGTGGAAGTGATGACACAACCTACGCCAAAAGTGAGACCAATCAATGCAAGAATATACCACTAAGTTTAGACGTCTAGCTGTAGCGTTAAGAGTTTTAATGGATTCACCTGAGATATTCATGAAATACATCTCAGGACTATTGCCACGTATAAGTAATGAGATCTCCCTTTACAAACCAAACGACGTATCTAGCATAAGTATGATCGCTATGACCATCAGGAAAAAAAATAATCGTAACGAAAAATTCTTTGAAGGCTTAGGATCAGGCTCATCAAAATAGAAACATTTTAAGAAGGCTACATTAGTTTTATCGTCCTCATCATCAACACTAAATGCTAGAATGTATTGTGATTATTGTAATACCGATGGTCATACAAAGGAGAAATGTTAGAAGTTGTACCCAGAGTTGCACCTAAAGAAAAGACCAAAGGGTAAAATCGTGGCAACAACAACTTGTGATAATGAACCTATAGTAGTTGATAAGGTTCAAAGAGCATATCCAAATTTATCTCTAACGGCAACGCCAAAAGTTCTGGATTCAGAGTCACTTACTAAGCATGATGAACTAGAAGAGTTGTTTTTCCTAAAAATCTAAGTAAAATAAGAGGTGATTATTGTCGTGGCGGATAATGTAAGCCAAAGAAATCTAATTTATGAGCAACTAGTACAAAAGTTAGTATTGTCCACGATCCTTCACCCTAAGTCAGACCCATTAGGTTGGATTTTTAAAGATGTGGGGCTTCAAGTTAATCGACAATGTACCTTTTAGTTTGATATGACTAATCAGTTTATCGATGAAATTACATGTGATGTTGTCCCTTTTGATATATGCCAGGTACTACTTGGAAGTCTTTATTTAGAGAATCGAGATGCCATTTATTATCGCGGAGCTCAAAGAATTCAATTTACTAAAGAACAAAGGAAATATTTCTTTTCTGATGAAAAGATGAAACAAACTGTTGATTTACTCACTACATGTCAAGCCAAGTGGATGATTAACTTGTCCAAGAAGTTTGTGTTACTATTTATACGACTTTCTAAAGATGAGGGATGCACGGCGACAATCATTAATCCAACTCATGTGGCTATTGCTAGGTCATCTCAAATAAAGGAGAAAAAGGAGTTAACATAATTGTGCGGAGAATCCCTTGACCTGTTCTCTGAAGAACAAGGTTTACCATCAAAGCGGGAAGTGGAACACGAGATTCAACTCATCTCATATTCATCGCTTCCGAATTTAAGCATGTATCGATATTCTATAATAGAGAATGAAGAAATAAAGAAGTAAGTGTCTGATTTGTTTGAGAGTGGTCTTATAAACCAAACAATTCACCTTGTGGATCACTAGTGGTTCTTGTTCCTAAAAATGATGGTGGTTGGCGTATGTGTATGAACTACTGTACCTTGAACAAAATAACAGCAAAGAATCGATACCTTCTTCCGAGAATAGATGATATTCTAGATCAATTGAAACATGTCTATTGTTTCACAAAGTTGGATTTAAAATTTGGTTACTATCAAGTACGATCCGAGAAAAGATTCTTGGAAGACGGCTTTTAAGACAATCAGGGTTTATTGAGTGGCTAGTCATGTCATTAGAACTTGTAATGCTCTGCTACATTTATATAGTGATGAATGATGTCTTGCGACCTTTTATTGATCAATTTGTCATTGTGTATCTTGATGACATTTTCATCTATAGCCGTATTTGAGAGGAACACCTAGATCATTTGAGAAAGATATTCGAATTATTATAAAAATACGAACTCTGCTTAAATAAGAAGAAGTGTGAGTTTAGGCAGAGATCATTATTATACCTTGGATTTGTTGTGGGTAATGGTGAATTGCAAATCAACCCAGGAAAAGTGAAGGCTATTAAAGAGTGGCATCGACCAACAAATGTTACTGAAGTTCGAAGTTTTATGGGTACTTGTCAATATATTAGAAAATTTATTCAAACTTTTTTTATGATAGTTTCTTCCTTACATGAACTAATAAAGACAAATCGACGATTCGAATAGACTAGAAACATGATGACACATTTCATCTTTTGAAAAAAAAGATATGTGAGACGCCTGTTTTAGTTCTACCAAATCTACAAAAGCATTTTGAACTTGAGGCTGATGCATCTGAATATGCGATGGGTGCTGTTCTAATGCAAGAAAGAAGACTTATTACTTGTTACTCTGAATTTTTTCAAGGGTCTCAAAAGAACTATCTGATGTATGATAAAGAGTTGTTTGTCCTACACCAAGCCATAAAACATTAGCGTGTGTATCTTTTGGGTAAAAAAATGGTAGTTTACACTAATCATCGACCCCTTCAATACCTTCAAACACAGTCGAAGTTACAACAAATTCTTCACATGAAATAGATGACCTACCTTCAATAATTTAACTTGGTAATCAAGTACAAATAGGGGGTTCAAAATAAATTGCTTGACATGTTATCTCAACCGCCGATAACAATACTTTGCTTGTCTGTTGTGATGGAGATTCAACTAAGTGTACATGAAGAATATGTCAACATATATGACTATGATCTAAAATTTTCTGATATTGTGACTATGGTGAAAATGGAGAAACCATCAGAGTTTACATTGTAAGATGGATTACTCTATAAAGGATCACAACTATTTGTTCCAAGAAAAGTAAATCGTATACAATGGATGTGAAAAACTCATACTTCAAAAGTAGCAGGACACTTTGGAGTAAACAAGACTGTATAAAATCTTCAACGTTATGTCTATTGGCCCTGGATGCAACAAGATGTAACACAATTTGTTAAAATGTGTTTGCTATATAGCACTTCAAAGCTATCAAATAAAAAGATTCGACTTTACACACCATTACCAGTTCCAAGTAGATTATGAGAAAATATATCTATGGATTTTATGGGAGGTCTACCAACTACTAAACAGGGATATAACTACCTATATGTAATAGTAGATAGATTTTTCAAGATAATAATATTAATACCATGCAAGAAGACCATCACGGGAGAAGAAACATCGAAACTTTTCTTTAGACATGTCTGGACACATTTTGGACTACCAACCTCTATTGTTTCAAATCGTGATAGTCATTTTCTTGGAAGCTTCTAGAGATCATTGTTGTCTATGATGGATATGAAATTGAACAGAAGTACAACTTTTCATCCACAAACTGATGGTCAAACTGAAGTTGTCAACCGGACCATCGTACATCTTCTACGAGGTTATAATGCTCGATATCCTAAAACTTAGGATGAGAGCTTACTATATCTACAATTTGTATTTAAATGAGCTATTCATAGCTCAACTAATAGGTCACCATTTGAAGTTTGTCTTGGCTACTTACCACAAAGCCCATTTCATATTGAGTTTACACTTGAGTCAATATCAAAAGAAATGCAGGATAAGAACAGTTCAGAGAAGATTCAAAAGTTCTTAGAATGTATTCGACGGGTTCATGGTGAAGTAGAAAAGTAGTTGCAGAAAGCTCAACAAAAATATAAAGCTAGACATGATCAACATAGAGTAAAAGACGAATTCTAAGTAGGAGACTTAGTATGGCTACATTTGAAAAAGGAAAGGTTAAAATGAGAAGGCAAGAAGTTGAAGCCTATTCATTATGGTCCTTTTAAGATCCTTAAAAAGACTGGTGATAATGCATGTCAACTAGAGTTACCTAGTTACATAGAAATATACTATGTGGTCAATGTCAAAAATCTAAGACTTTTCGAACCCTCTATGTTGGATGATGAACCTAAAGAAGTTATACCTTCAGTGGAGGATTTTCACATCGACAATGAGAGCTCGTTACTGGAAGATATTATTGATGCAGAACCTAAGGATCAACTAACGTGATAAAAATTTTTGCATATAATATTAGTATTCAGATTCATAAAACTCCCAATAAATTCTCTATACTTGACCTACATTCAACACGTGAATGTCAATTAAATTAATT